TCGTAGCTTCTAAGGGGGTAGAAGACCTCTTCGCGGAAAATTTTCAATGTCAATATTTCGTAGAAGCGCCCACGTAAAAGTACCTCCTGACTTTACCTATTTCGTGGGTTTTGCTTATATTTTCGAATCGATTTGGCTTGAAATATGGGTTTAGGCTAATAAGGGGGTAGAGGGCTATTATAAACAGTTGAAATATCCTTTTTTAAATATGTTACTTACTATTTAGGGTTTTGACTTAGGATCAGGTTTTTTGAAACACTATAAATTTTGCGATGCGTATTCGTTTCAATTAAGTCGAGTCATTATTTATACTAAAAATTGTGGCACTCATGTGAGCCAGAATTATTATACTTTAAAAACAATGCAATAAAGACTAAAACCATGGGCCGGCAAAGCGGGCCGGACCAGCTAGTATAGATATATATTCCTTAAAGAAAGATGTTTTCTGCTATGGATGCGATGCATCTAGAGGATGCCTTTTTGCAGATTTCTTTAGAGGGAATCAGAGACAATTATTTGCCTCATTGCCCTTTACGCATTTCATTTGCCACTGAAGATCACTCAAACCATCAGCAGAACGATCGAAAACCTCCCATTACTTCACTTACTAATTTGATTCCGATCGTACGCCATAAGAAACATTGGCTAAGTAAATGATTAGCGCCATAAAAATAAACAGTGCGTTTGTCTTTGTTAAATTGGCGAGTGGAGGTTATATTCATGCCCATTTCGAAATGAAGATATATTAAACTACACTTTCCAATCATTTTATGAGATTAGAAAGATCGAAGATGATCATCTTTTTATATAAAATAAAGTTATGTTATTTTCTACGCTTATAACTAAAGAACGGTTTAACTGATTATCAAAAATAACACCAATTCGGCAGAAAAGGATTACATCAAACAAAATCGCATAAGAATAAGCTAATAAAAATGTGAATAATTTTGTTACATGTTTTTATATAATTTTTCAATTTGAAATTTAACTTTAAATTTTGAATTGTACATTTGGTAGTATTTTTGGTTTTGTTTTTTAATTCACATTAAAAAATCGAGAAAAAGGCCGCTACTAGAAATTAGGTATTTGTTTCTATTTAGAAAGTGAACGAAACCATCAAGCTACAGAAATTATATACTAATAAGAAAACAATTAATGTTTTTCTTTTTATTCGACCTTTTTATATTTTAATGAAACAAGTGTTGTTTGAGCTTGAGGTCTTTGTTGTTGTATTTATTTTAATACACCAATATTTCGAAATTCAATGAATTTCATCTTCAGGGATATAGTCATACAATAAAAAAAATAAACAAAGTACGACTTATTAACTATATCACAGTTTTTTCTAATACTAACAGGTATATTAACACAGAACAAAGATCGCTTACATGTTTATAAATACTAAAAAGAATTTTTATAATTAACTTAAAGCTAGCATAGTGTTCCTACTCCGTCAAGTTACATTATTGCACTGATTAGTATATATTTATTGCACGATCTCTACCCCGTGTGAGTTGCCTGTAGCAGTAGGCTGTGTTGTCGGTGTCTGTTTTGCTGTTTACTCTTGTTGTTGTTGGGAGACTGTTTATGTGGAGCATCTCTAGTGTTAGTCTCTTGTTGTAATGATTCTCCGTTTGCAGTATTTTTACATCGTCAATGTTAGGGGTATGATTGTGTATTTTACAGTGTTCGGACAGTGCTTTTTATTGTATTATGTTGGTATTTCTTAATTTTATGTCCGACTTGTGTCCTGACATTCGAGTATTTAATTTGTTTTTCGTCGTGCCGACGTATAATTTTCCACAGCCTTCCTCATTATTACCACCACATTCAATGTGGTAAATCACGTTATGTTTTTCCATTTTTGGTGTTTTACTTTTCACTTATTGCAGATCTGGTCATGAAATACCTACTTGACGTTTGTTTAAATTCACTACCAAAGAAACCCAAGATATTGACAAAGTACGTAGACGACTTATTCGCATTTTTTTATTCGGTATTTTCATGATTTTAGCGACATCATTCACCAAAGTTCTTTCAAATTTGGTATTTGATGTTTGCAATGGATGTTAGAGCCTATGACAGGAGATTGTCTGTTCAGGTCCACGTCTTCGTATAGCCCCATATAACGGTACCTCCCGATATTCGATATTTTAATGATTCTAGCGAGTTTGTTCACCGAAATTGTTTCAAACTTGATATTTGAAGTTCGTAATGGATACTACAGCCTATGATAGAAAATTTTTTGTGCAGGTCCACGTCTTTGTATAGCCCCCATATAAAGGTACCCCCCCTATATTCAGTATTTTCACGATTTTAGGTACAATACCAACCGAAATTGTTTGAGATGTCGTATTTGAAGTTCTACAGCCTGTGATTGAAAAATGTCTATGCTGGTCCAGGTCTTCGCACAGCTCCGATATAACGGTACCTCTCTATATACGATATTTTGATGATTTTAGCTACATTATTGACCGTTTATTTCAAGTTTCGAATTGGAATATGGTAATGGCTTACGACAAACAATGCCTATGTAGGTTCACGTCGTATAGACCCAAATATTCGGTATTTTTAAAATTTTAACAGCATTTTTAAGGATTTTATTTTTTGAAAATTTCCAAATTCGTTCCAAATAGTGGAGGGTATTCAAGGTTCGGCCCGGCCGAACTTACTGCTTTTTACCTTGTTATACCCTCCACCATACTATTGAGGGTATATTAACTTTGTCATTCCGTTTGTAACTCCTCGAAATACTCATGTCAGACGCAACAAAGTATATATATTTTTAATCAGCTTAAAATTCTAAGTCGATTGATCGATGTCCATCTGTCCGTCGGTCTGTTGTTGTGCTATCTTTCGAACGAATTGAGATAGACTTCGAAAATTTTGCACACATGTTTTCTTTGCCAGTACACAGGTTAAGTTCGTAAATGGGTCATGTAGATCCACGTTTTCATATAGTCTCTATATAACGGCAACCCCCAACCCCCCCAAAAAATCGGTGCTTTGATGATTTTATCGACATTATTCCCCAGAATTGTTTCATATTACGTATTTAGAGTTCGTAATGGGAACTTCAGTCTGTGACAGAAAGTTGTCTATGCAGGTCCAGGTCTTCGAATATAATGTATCAGTACATTCCTATGTTCGGTATTTTGACAATTTTAGGTACAATACTCACCGAATATGTTTTAGATGTCGTATTTGAAGTTCGTAATGGATGCAACAACCTGTGACACAAAATTTGCTGTGCAGGTCCAGGTCTTAGTATAGCTCCGATATAACTGTACCTCCTATATATGCTATTTTGATGATTTTAGCTGCATTATTCACCGTTGTTTTTCAAGTTGCAAATTTGAATGTGGTAATGGCTTATGACAAGCAATACCTATGTAGGCCCACGTCGTATAGACCCCAATTTGTTTTTAAGATTTTAACAGAATTTTTAACGGATTTTATTTTTGGAAAATTTCTAAATTCGTTCCAAATGGTGGAGGGTATTTAAAGTTCTGCCCGGCCGAACTTACTGCTTTTTAACTTGTTCTGGGTCACTTCGAAAATTAATTTTTTAGCGGTGGAGAGGAAGTCTGAGTTTCTTGAATTTTCAACTTTAAACGTGTATAACTTCTATTTTAACCAACGTATTTCTATCTGTTTATACCCTCCACCATTTTATGGAGGGTACATTAACTTTGTCATTCCGTTTGTAACTCTTCGAAATATTTTTAATATACCCTACAAAGTATATATTCTCTATCAGCGTAAAATTCTAAGATCTAGCGATGTCCGTCTGTCTGTTGTAATCACGCTATCTTTCGAACGAATTGAGATAGAAGTCTAAAATTTTGGATATATGCATAGTTTACCAGAAAGCAGGTCAAATTCGTAAATGGACCATGTCGGTACACGTTTTCGTATAGCCCCCATGTAACGGTACTTCTCGATATTTGGTATTTTCATGATTTTAGCGACAGTATTTACCGGAATTATTGATATTTCGTATTTGAAGTTCGTAATGGGTAAATGGGTACAACCTATGACAAAAAAATCGTATGTATATCCCCCATAAAACGGTAGTAGTACCAATTACAAACTTCAAATTTGGCATTTGAAGTTTGTAATGGGTACTACAGCCTATGAAAAACATTTTTGTATGCAGGTCCACGTCTTCGTATACCCCCATATAACGGTACCTCCCGATATTCGGTATTTTCATGATTTCAGCGACATTATATACCGGAATAATTCAAATTTGGTATTTGATGTTCGTAGTGGATACTGCAGCCTATGACAGAAAATTGTATGTGAAGATCCACGTAAAAAAGTAAAAGTAAAAAAGCAGATAAGTTTTGGCGGACCGAACTTTTAATACCCTCTACCATTTCGAATTAACTTGAAGAATTTAAAAACAAAAAAAAAAAAAAACAGACAGACAGACGGATATCGCTAGATCTTCTTTGAATTTTACGCTGATCCAGAATATATATATACTTTGTAGGGTCTATTATGAATAATTCGAGGAGTTAAACACGGAATGACAAAGTTAATATACCCTCCATAGAATGGTGGAGGGTATAAAAAATGAGAGCTGATCGATGTAGCAGACATAAGGCGAAAGAAACATACATCGCTAGGTATGTCCGTATTTTGCAATTACCTTCTCCACCTAAAGAATCAAGCTTTCACGCTGTCTTGTGTCATTAGTTTATTTTTGTTTTATCCGTATTTTCTAATGGATGTTCTTAAAATTAGCATATAGTGTTCGTTATGGTTTTTATCCCTAGTTGCAGAACATTGTCTATATAGATCTACTTTTTGTTATAGCCCCACTATAATCATCTAATAATCACGTTCATAACGATACCTCCTACTTATCGGTATGTTGTTTATTAAAGCTACATTTTTTAACCTAAACATTCGGCCGAGCACAACATGCTGCTTTCTTACTTTTTATATTTGAAAAAAAAAAAAAAAAATACAATAAAAACAGTGCTACTTACCTATGTTGGGTAATGAAATTAAAGACAAAAATAGTAATAGATATCCAACCTCGGAAAACTGACGAGTATGCCAAGGACTTCTCATCTGAAAATAAAAGCAACAAAAGTGGCTATCAGACCCTTTGTTATAATACTTAAAAAAAGCAAATTGACGTAAAATATTTTATATTTTACTTAAAATAAATGAAAGTTCCCATTATTTTTAAACGGAGCACTAGTAAAGGGTGTTTTCTTAAGCTAGATAGAACTTTAAGTTGTAAAAAGTAACACACAAATCAAATTTAGACAAAACTTTTTTTTTATTTGTTTCAGTATACTCTGACAAATCATCATGAATAGACTCACGCTTGAACAACGCTACGAAATTATCCAAATTTACTTTGAAAGTCAGGCTCCGGAGCAGTTGGCAAATGACCCGTTGTTTTATCGTAAAACTGTGTTCAGCGATGAGGCGCATTTTTGGCTTAACGGGTTTGTTAATAAGCAAAATTGCCGCATATTGAGTGAGACCAATCCACAAGAGACCCTACAGACTCCATTACATCCAGAAAAATGCACCGTATGTTGCATTTTTCACGCTGATGGCATCATCGGACCTTATTTCTTCAAAAATGAGGCCGGAGCTCGCGTTACGGTCAATGGAGATCGTTACCGCACCATGATCAATGGTTTTTGTTTAAAAATATGGATGACATTGATCCGGAGGAGATGTGGTTTCAACAGGATGACGCTACATGCCATACGGCGAACGCAACCATCGATTGGCAATAAGTTGATTTCGAGAAGTGGTCCTGTCAATTGGCCTCCAATGTCGTGCGATTTGACACCTCTCCATTATTTCCTGTGAAGTCACTGGATTATGTTGATAAACCAGCAACAATTGACGTCTAGGAGGCCAGCATCGTTCGTTTTATTCGTAACATACGGCCTGCAGTGCTCGAAAAAGTGGCCAAAAATTGGGCGTCCAGAATGCACTTCGTCAAGAACAGCCGCGGTGCCCATATGACCGAAATCATTTTCAAATGTTAATGTCAAGTATTGATCTTTCGAATAAAAAAATTGTTGAATAAAATTTAATTTTTTGTGCTATTTTTTACAATTTCAAGTTCTACCGCGCTTAAAAAAACACCCTTTATAATAATATTCTACGCTAGAACTTGTAATTTTAATTATTTCAAGTACATTAAGATTCTTTTTACTAGGGTCGTATTTTTATACCCTCCACCAAAAAAGGTATGGAGGGTATATTAAGTTCGTCATTCCGTTTGTAACTCATCGAAATAATCATTTTAGACCCAACAAAGTATATATATTCTTGATCAGCGTAAAATTCTAAGACGATTTAGCACTGTCCGTCCGTCTGTTGTAATCACGCTACAGTCTAAACGAATTAAGATAGGAAGCTAAAATTTTGCACAGATCTCTCTTTTGTCTGCAGGCAGGTCAAGTTCGAAGATGGGCTATATCGGTCCACGATATCGTATAGCCCCCATATAACGGTACCCCCCGATATTCGGTATTTTGATGATTTTACCCACATTTTTCAACGGAATTGTCTGAAAATCCACACAAGGAGTTCCTTGTGGGTACTCTATACTTCGGAAGAGAATTGTCCATATAGGTCCACGATATCGTATAGCCCCCATGTAACGGTACCCCCCAATATTCGGTATTTTGATGATTTTATCCACATTTTTCAACGGAATTGTCTGAAAATCCACACAAGGAGTTCCTTGTGGGCACTTTATACCTCCGCAGAGAATTGTCCATATAGGTCCACGATATCGTATAGCCCCCATGTAACGGTACCCCCCGATATTCGGTATTTTGATGATTTTACCCACATTTTTCAACGGAATTGTCTGAAAATCCACACAAGGAGTTCCTTGTGGGTACTTTATACCTCGGCAGAGAATTGTCTATATAGGTCCACGATATCGTATAGCCCCCATGTAACGGTACCCCCCGATATTCGGTATTTTGATGATTTTACCCACATTTTTCAACGGAATTGTCTGAAAATCCACACAAGGAGTTCCTTGTGGGTACTTTATACCTCGGCAGAGAATTGTCTATATCGGTCCACGATATCGTATAGCCCCCATATAACGGTACCCCCCGATATTCGGTATTTTGATGATTTTACCCACATTTTTCAACGGAATTGTCTGAAAATCCACACAAGGAGTTCCTTGTGGGTACTTTATACCTCGGCAGAGAATTATCTATGTAGGTCCACAATATCGTATAGCCCCCATATAACGGTACCCCCCGATATTCGGTATTTTGATGATTTTATCCACATTTTTCAACGGAATTGTCTGAAAATCCACACAAGGAGTTCCTTGTGGGTACTTTATACCTCGGCAGAGAATTGTCTATATAGGTCCACGATATCGTATAGCCCCCATGTAACGGTACCCCCCGATATTCGGTATTTTGATGATTTTACCCACATTTTTCAACGGAATTGTCTGAAAATAAACACAAGGAGTTCCTTGTGGGTACTTTATACCTCGGCAGAGAATTATTTATATAGGTCCACAATATGGTATAGCCCCCATATAACGGTACCCCCCGATATTCTGTATTTTGAAGATTTTACCCACATTTTTGAACGGAATTGTCTGAAAATCCACACAAGGAGTTCTTTGTGGGTACTTTACACCTCGGCAGAGAATTATCTATATAGGTCCACAATATCGTATAGCCCCCATATAACGGTACCCCCCGATATTCGGCATTTTGATGATTTTACCCACATTTTTCAACGGAATTGTCTGAAAATCCACACAAAGAGTTCCTTGTGGGTACTTTATACCTCGGCAGAGAATTATCTATATAGGTCCGCAATAGAGTAGAGCCCTCATATAACGGTACCCCCCGATATTCGGTATTTTGATGATTTTACCCACATTTTTCAAAGGAATTGTCTGACAATCCACACAAGGAGTTCCTTGTGGGTACCTTATACCTCGGCAGAGAATTATCTATACAGGTCCACAATATCGTACAGCCCCCATATAACGGTACCCCCGATATTCGGTATTTTGATGATTTTACCCACATTTTTCAACGGAATTGTTTGAAAATCCACACAAGGAGTTCCTTGTGGGTACTTTATACCTCGTCAGAGAATTATTTATATAGGTCCACAATATCGTATAGCCCCCATATAACGGTACCCCCGATATTTGGTATTTTGATGATTTTACCCACATTTTTCAACGGAATTGTCTGAAAATCCACTAAAGGAGTGCCTTGTGGGCATTTTACCTCCTCAAAATGAAGTGTCTATATAGGTCCACGATATCGTATATCCCCCATATAACTGTAACCTCCGATATTCGGTATTTTGATGATGTTAGCCACGCTTTTCAATGGAATTGTCTTAAAATCAACACAAGTAGTTCCTTGTGAGTACTTCACCCCCTGAGAGAGAATTGTCTATACAGGTCCACGATATCGTATATCCCCCATATAACGGTACCTCCCGATATTCGGTATTTTATGATTTGAACCACATTTTTCATCGGAATTGTCTGAAAATCCACACAAGGAGTTCCTTGTGGGTACTTTATACCTCGGCAGAGAATTATCTATATAGATCCACGATATTGTATAGCCCTCATATAACGGTACCCCCGATATTCGGTATTTTGTTGTTTTTAGCCATATTTTTCAACGGAATGGTCACAAGGGGTTCTTTGTACACAAGGGGTTCTTTGTACACAGGGGGTTCTTTGTGAGCACTTTACCCACCGACAGAGAATTCTCTATATAGGTTAACGATAACGTATAGCTCCCATATAACGGTACCCCGCGATATTCGGTATTTTGATGATTTTAGCCACATTTTCCAATCGTATTGTCTGAAAATCCACACACGGAGTTCCTTGTGAGTACTTTACACGCAGACATAGATTTGTCTTTATAGGTCCACAATATCGTATATCCCCCCATATATCGGCACCTTCCTATATTAGATATTTTAAAGATTTTAAAAGAATTTTTATTGGATTTTATTTTTTTGAAAATTTTCTAATTTGTTCCAAATCGTGGAGGGGATTCAAAGTTCGGCCCGGCCGAACTTACTGCTTTTTTACTTGTTAATAGTTAAAACAGCGAATATAAAAAGATTTACTTAAAATGTCCTGCCTTATTAAGGCGAAGTTTATTAGTTGATGCATATTTGATAAATTCTTTTTCGAGTCGAGCTTTTAAAGCCCGAAGGTGATGACTTTAAAAATTGGAATCTATCGAAGTCCCAAGCTTTAACCGGTATGCGACGCATTTCGCCGTTTGTTAAGCGGCTTATCAATCATATTAGATGCTATTTTGGTGTCTATACAAAGTTCAATTTCAAAAACTTCAAATTCAATTGATGTGAAAAATGTTTATATCCTCCACCATAATATGGAGGGTATATTAGCATTGTCATTTCGTTTGTAACTCCTCGAAATACTCATGTTAGACCCAACAACAACTTTACAGGAGAAGCAAAAAATTATTAATTGAAGGCTAATTTATAAAATAACTCAAATTTTTAGTATCATCATACATATAAGAAATGTATTTTAGAAGAAAAAAATTGTTTCATTCAAAAATTGTTTTCATAATATCTGAAGCTGTGTGGGTTGCGTCGTTTGTTCTTATTCAGAAATGCCAAAAGGCGTAACTCTCATCGTATTTAACGTTTCAACGAAAGTAAAAAAATTATTTTATTTTTTAATGACAACATAGAATAAAAGGTATATTGATATCACAAAATTATTAAAATGTTATTTTGGTAGTTCATATCACTCTTCAAAACCCCCTCTAGGTTGTACTCCCAATAACATAAGCTTACTTAGGACATAAAGTACTCACAAGAAACGCCATGTGCAGATTTTCAGATAATTCCATTGAAAATGTGGCTAAAATCATCAAAACACCGAATATCGGGGATACCGTTATATGGGAGCTATACGATATTGTGGACCTATATAGATAATTCTCCTCCAGGAACTCCTTGTGTGGATTTTTAGACAATTCCATTGAAAAATGTGGCTAAAATCATCAAAATACCGAATGTCGGGAGGAACC